TCTTAAGACTATCAGGACTTAGCAATAAATGAATATGAATTAAGCAAAACTAGAGAGGAATATGAATAAAGGTAGAAGTAGGACACTCTTGTAATCATACAACAGTCCATTGATCTTTGCTTAAATGCCTGCACAGGCAAACAATGACAGTGGATGGAGGTCGAATGGGTCACAGATCCTTATTGTTCATGTGTCATTGTATCATGTGCATTTCATCCTTCACCCTTAATCCCAATTCTCTCAACAGCCAGAAGGATAGGGGTTTTTTTTGTTTGTTTGGTTTTGTTTGAGACGGAGTATTGCTCTGTTGCCCAGGCTGGAGTGCAGTGGTACAATCTCGGCTCGTGGCAGCCTCCAATTCCTGGGTTTAAGTGATTCTCATGCCTCAGCCTCCTGAGTAGCTGAGACTACAGGTCAGCCACTGCACTTGGCTACTTTCTGTATTTTTTTTTTTTTTTTTTTTTTAGTAGAGTCAGGGTTTTGCCATGCTGGCCAGGCTGGTCTCGAACTCCTGACCTCAAGTGATCTGCCTGCCTTGGCCTCCCAGAGTGTTGGGATTACCAGTGTGAGCCACTGTGCCTGGCCCTCAAGGATGAGTCTTTTGTCTTCACTTGCACATACAAAATTAAGGTTTACTAAACCCAAGTGAAAAAGATTGTGAGTGAAAGATCTGCTTCCGCCCTAGAGTATACGCTGGTCCCTCCAAAAGAACCCTGTTTTTATGCTGAATAGTATTACGTGGACTTAGCGAGACTGCAGCTCAGTTGTTTACCCTTGTCTTCTTCCAGGCCTCCCAGGCTCAGTGGATTGTACCACTTGAAACCTGGTTTTACACACAAGAAGGCTCTTGGCACCTCCGTCTTGCTCACCTTTTGTGTCTGCCAATTTTGCCTACCAAGTGTCTATTGAATCCACCCACTTCTCTTCATCTTCACTACTACCGCGTAGTCCAGGCCACCCTCACCTCTCACTTGGACACTTGCACTGGCTCAGCTGGCTTCCTTATATCCTCCCTGCCTTTCCTTACCTTTGCCAGAGTGATCTGTTCAACATTCGAGTCTTAATTGTATGCCTCGCCACTAAAATCTCTTTTGCAGCCTCTGTGGTAGGCTGAAAAATGGTCCTCCCAAGAGGTATCTGTGTCTTAATCCCTAGAACCTCTCAGTGCTACCTTGTAAGGAAAAGAATAAAAGGTGCCATGCAGATGTGATTAAGTTAAGGATCTTCAGATAGGGGATTGTCCCCGATTATCTCAGTGGGCCCTAAATGCAATCTCATGTATTCCTGTAAGAGGGAGGCAAGAGAGATTTTACACACACACACAGGAGAAGCCGAAATGGAAACATCAAGAGAGATATTTGAAGACATTGGCCTTGAAGATTAGCGCAACAGCTGCTCTAAGCCTGAATGCAGAGAGTCACCAGAGGATGGAAGAGGCATGGAATGGACCCACCCCTAGAGCCTCCCCAGGGAGTGTGGCCCTGCCAATACCTCGATTTCAGCCCAGTGATACTGATGTCACTCACTCTTCTGGTCTATAGAACTGTAAGAGAACACATTTCTCTTGTTTTCAGCCACCAGGCTTATGGTAATTTATTATAATAGCCACCAAAAACTATTCAGCCTCCCATGGCTTTTAGATTAGGACCAAAATCCATGGCAGGATTTGTCTGGCATAGCTCGGGCCTGCTTGGTTTGCCCCTTCACCATCCACTGCCTTATCCCCCCCCCCTTTTTTTTTTTCATATAAAGATTGAGTATCCCTTATCCTAAATATTTGGGACAAGAAGTGTGTTGGATTTCAGATTTTTTCAGATTTTGGAATATTTACTTATACATAATGAGACATTTTAGGAATGGGTCCCAAGTCTAAACACAGAATTCATTTATGTTTCATATACATTTTATGCACATAGCTTGAAGGTAATTTTGTACAATATTTTAAATTTTATGCATGAAACAAAGTTTTGACTGTGAACATCACGTAAGATCAGTGTGGAATTTTTCACTTGTGGCAGCATGCCAGTGCTCAAAGAGTTTTAGGTTTTGGAGCATTTTGGGTTTCAGATTTGTGGAATAGGATGCCCAGCCTGTATTTTAAAATATTTTTATTGTATTCTTTCTAGGCTGTGGCTGTACAAATCCCAGTTAGCTCATGCTGTAAAATAGACTCACGGATCCCCATTTTATACGGTGGTTTGTAGAAAAACAGAAAAGTAAAATACTTTAAATTGGCAATGACTTTGGTTTTAACCAGCTTAAGAATCCATATTAACCTTCATTGAAAAGATCAATGCTGGCTCGGTGCAGTGGCTCACACTTGTAATCACAGCACTTTGGAAGGCGAAGAGGAGTGGATCACTTGAGGCCAGCAGTTTGAGACCAGCCTGGCCAACATGGCGAGACCCTGTCTCTGCTAAAAAATATAAAAATTAGCCAGGTGTGGTAGCACATGCCTGTAATCCCAGCTACTCAGGAGGCTGAGGCATGAGAATTGCTTGAACCTGGTAGGCGGAGGTTGCAGTGAGCTGAAATCGCATCACTGCACTCCAGCCTGGGTAACAGTGTGAGACTGCCTCAATAGATAAATAAATAACCAGTGCTTTGTCCAATTATGCCATTTGGTAGCTTTGTCTTCCATTGCTGTGTTATTTCCTTGCTCTCTGACCTGTAGTTACCTCGATCTTTCAGATTCTTGACTTTGCTTTGCTTCTTCCTGACACAGGGTTTTCATTGCACCTGGAATCTCTCCTCCAAGCTGACTCAATTTCTAGTTATCCTTCAACCTCAAGTCCACCTTCCCTTTCTGGAGAGGCTTTCCATGGTCTTCCAGCCTCATTTCTTTGCTATGCATTCTGTATGAATCAGGTTCCTTTCCTTTGTGTTCTTACCTCAGTTTGTAATCATGCCCAGACAGCCCTTGCTTTACTTGCTTCTAATATGCACAGATTCCAGTTTCCAGAGTTTAACTAAAAGTAACACCAGTTCCCCACTAATACTGTTCAATTTTCAGCTACTACTGTGTATGAGTTATGAGTAACTGTAACCACTAGCTCTTCAGGCTGCAAATCATTATATATATAACAGATGCACATCATGATCAGTGGCCAATCATGTGACTTCTTTCAGAGTCTGCCTGTGATTGGTCATTGAACCTGTTATTCAGTTCACAAACAGCAAAGAGTGTCCTTGTGTTGCTTCGTTCATTCCTAGTGATGACCCACTGACATTTTACAAAAGGGATAATTCAATGATGACTTTGGCCAACAAAGATGAAAGTGCAGCAAAGAAAAAAGTGGTAACACTGGAAGTGACATGGGAATTAAATATAAAAAGCTGATCTGGAATGTTGACATTGCCCCTATTTGAGGGACTCTGGATGTGCAGCCACAGGCACTTAGTGAAGGGCAGTTTATTAGACATAAAGGAGGAAAGTGGTTGTAAGAAAAAAGATGCAGATGTCACGGAGGAGGTGACACTGGCCAAGAAAAACTTCACAAAGAACTCCTGGAAGGATCTCACAACATTGAAAGCACAAAGGCTAGACTGAAGCTAAGCCAAACTTCGTAAGGAGTATCACAGTTTAAAGTATGATAAGATGCTTACTTTACATCATATATTATCCTACAAGAAGAGGGCATGCGCTGCCCAAAATCCTCTTGATAAGTTTCTTACAAAGAAGGAAATCCCTTTAATGCTCAGTGCTTCTAATATTTTAAATAAGAGTTTATAAAATGTTTTGCTATTTTTTCATTTCCCTAATGTTTATAAATGGTAGAGTTTTAAAATGCTTTTTAATTTTATTTCAATTGTGGTAAAATATACATGAGGCGATATCATTTTATTCATTTTTAGATGTACAATACAGTGGCATTAGTGGCATTAAGTACAGCCATCACCAGCATCCATCTGCAGAACTTTTTTGTCTTTATAAACTTTGTACCTATTAAATGACAATTTCCCATTTCTCCCTAGCCCCAGCAACTGCCTTCTGCTTTCTGTCTCTGTGAAGTTGTTTATGATAGGTACCTGTTATAAGTGGAATCATACAGTATTTGTCTTTTTGTGATTGACTTATTTCAGTTAGCATAATGTCCGTTATAGCACATGTCACAATTCCCTTTCTTTTTAAGGCTGCATAATATCCCATTGTTTGTATATACCACATTTTGTTTACCCAGTCATCCATTAATGGACACTTGGGTTGCTTCCACCTTTTGGCTATTGTGAACAATGTTTCTATGAACATGGATGTACAAATATCTGAGCTCCTGCTTTCAGTTTTTTTGGGTATATACCCAGAAGTGGAATTGCTGGATCATATGGTAATTCTAGTTTTAATTTTCTTTCTCCATTTTTTCTTTTTTTAAGAGATACAGTCTTGCTTCTTGCCTAGGCTGGAGTGCCGTGGTGTGATCAGAGCTCACTGTAACTTTAAACTTGTTGGCTTATGTGATTCTCCTGCCTCAGCCTCCCGAGTAACTAGGGCCATATGCACATGCCATCACGCCCAGCTAATTTTGTTTTTTTGTAGAACTGGGATCTCACTGTGTTGCCTGGGCTGGCCTCTAACTGCTGGGCTCAAGGGATAATCTCACTTTGGCCTCCCAAAACATTGGTATTACCAGTGTGAGTCACTGTGCTCAGCCCTATTTTTAGTTTTTTGAGGAACCACTATACTGTTTTCCACAGTGATTATACTGTTTTACATTCCTATCAGTGGTACACAAGGGTTCCAGTTTTTCTACATCCTTGCCAACAAGGATTTCTTGATTTGTTTTGGATAATAGCCATCCTAATAGGTGTGAGGTGGAGTCTGATTTACATTTCCCCAGTGTTAGGGATATTGAGCATGTGTTCATGTGCTTGTGGTGTTTGTATATATGCTTTGGAGAAATGTTTATTCAAGTCCTTTGCCCATTTTTTAAGTTGTTTGGTTTTTGTGTTGTTGAGTTTTAAGAGTTCTTTATATATTCTGGATATTAACTCCTTATCTAGTATACAATTTTCAGATGTCCATGGGTTGCCTTTTCACTTTGCTGTTAGTGTCCTTTGATGCAGAAAAGATTTTAATTTTAATATAGACCAGTGTATCCGTATTTTCTGTTTTTGTGCGTGCCTTTGATATCACATCCAAGAAACCTTTACCAAATCGAATGTCATGAAACTTTTTCTCTGTTTTCTAATAAGAGTTTTATAGTTTTAACTCTAATGCATAGGTCCTTGATCCATTTTGACTTAATTTTTTTAATGGTATAAAGTAAGGGTCAACTTCATTCATTTACATGTGGATATCCAGTTTTCCCAGCACCATTTGTTGAAAAGATTATTGCCCTTTCCCCATTGAAGGGTCGTGGCATCCTTGTTGAAAATCATCTGACCATGTGTGGGCTCTGTATTCTTTTCCATTCATCTGTATGTCAGTGATTGCACTGGTATAACTCTGTTTTAATACTGTAGTTTTGTAGTAAATTTTGAAATCAGAAAAGTGTGAGGTCTTCCGATTTATTCTTCTTTTTCAAAATATTTAGACTATTTGGGGTCCCTTGAGATTCCCTATGAATTTTAAAATGGATTTTTCTATTTCTGCGTAAAAGATATTGTTTATATTTTGATAGGGATTACACTGAATCGAGAGATGACTCAAGTAGTATTAGCTAATATTAAGTCTTCCAATCCATGGACATGGAACATCTTTCCATTTATTGATCTCATCTTTGACTTCTTTCAGCACTGCTTTATAGTGTACTCTTTCACCTCCCTGGTTAAGTTTATTCCTAAGTGTTTTATTCTTTTTGATACTATTGTAAATGGAACTTTCTTAATGTTTTGAATTACTCATTGTTAGTGTGTAGAAATACAACTGATTTTTGTGTGTTGATTTTGTATCTTGCAACTTTGCTGAATTTGTTTCTTTTAACCATTTCTTGTAGAATGTTTAGGGGATATTTTTGTTTCTGTTTTTGTTTTCTTGAGACAGGATATCACTTTGTTGCCCATGCTGGAGTGGTGTGGCGTGATCACGATCTACTGCAGTCTTTATCTTCCCAGGCTAAGTTGATTGTCCCACTTCAGCCTCCTGAGTAGCTGGAGCTACAGGTGTGTGCCACTACACCTGGCTAATTTGTGTGTGCGTGTGTGTGTGTGTGTGTGTGTGTGTGTGTGTGTGTATAGAGATGGAGTCTTGCCATGTTGCCCAGGCTGGTCTCAAACTCCTAGGCTCAAGCGATCTGCCTGCCTTGGCCTCCCAAAGTGCCAGGATTACAGACGTGAGCCACCATACCTGGCCATTTTTAGGGTTTCCTACATCTAAGATCATGTCATCTGTAAACAGATAATTTTAATTTTTTTATTTCCAATTTGGATGCTTTTTATTTCTTTTCCTTTACTAATTGCTCTGGCTAGGACTTCTAGTACTATGCTGAATAGTAATGGCAAAAGTGGGCATTTTTGTCTCGTTCTGATCTTAGAGGAAAAGCTTTTGGTCTTTTACTGTTGAATATGATGTTAGCTATAGGTTTAATGTTTCGATGAAGTTTTTAAAAAGATCACAGGGCACTTCTGATTTTTCCCATTTATTATTAAGATCAGTTTGTATGCTTTCAGCTTGCATGGTCCTTTTTAGGATCTTATTGTATCACATAAAGTGAGTACTGCCTGTATTCCCTAAGATAATATTTCCCCCAGCTGGACTATCCTCCTTCAGATGAAGAATTTTGTCTGTTTGGCTCACTACTATATCCCCTATACCTAACCTAGCCCAATGTCTATCATGTAATAGGTACTTAGTCAATGATATATGAATGATCCGTACTTTAAACATGAGTTTTTCTGGGTTCCCACATTCTCCAAATGTGTGGATTCCTTATGATAGGAAATTTGTTGGGGTATTAGAGAGTCTCAGATAGACCGTCTCACCAGGAGGATTGCATAAGACTCCAAATTGGTATCTCTTACTTATTTTAAGACTTGCATGTATTAGACATTCTGTGTTGTATTAACTGGTTATTACAATATTGTGGTATTGTCAATTCAGCACTTAGACATGGAATATGGTTCCTTTTGAAATGCAAAATTCACTACAAATGGAAGGTGGTAGTAAAGTGTGGTTAGTGGCAGTGTTGCTGTTGTGAGCTCGAGTTCTTCAAGGAGATCACAAAGAGACTGTGGCATTTTACTCTGGAGTATGACTGTGAAAGGCAGGTACCATGGATCAGGTCAGGAGAAAATATCTTTTAGCTCTTTTCATTCTTCAGGTGACATATTTCTTCAGAGACTTCCCTGCAGATGAAGCCTCAGCCTGGGGTCAGTAAAAATACAACCCAAAATCAGCACCTGCTATGCTGCATATCCATATTCCCTGAGTTGTCAGATGCATGTCTAGTGGCACCATTTATCTCTTATAATTCAAAACCAAATTCTGTAAAGGGTAATATTTGTTTAAAGTTGAGTCCTCTTTATTTTCATATATAAACTAAACATTGATTATGTGCCGACTGTGTTTAAATTACCATGGTAAGTCCTGAGAGGAGACAAAGATGAGTAAGATCTACTCCCTTCCCTCAAGGACATGCCCGTCTGGCGAGGACAATCCACACCGCACCTAATTTATTTTTATTTTTCTTGAGACGGAGTCTCACTCAGTCACCCAGGCTGGAGTGCAGTGGTGTAGTCACAGCTCACTGCAGCGTTGACCTCCCAGGCCCAGGCGATCATCCTGCCTCAGCCTACTGAGTAGCTGGGACCACAGGCATGCACCACCATGTCTGGCTAATTTTTGTAGTTTCTGTAGAGATGGGAACTTGCCATGTTGTCCTCCCTGGTCTTGAACTCCTGGGCTCAAGCAATGCTCCTGCCTTGGCCTCCCAAAGTGCTGGGATTACAGACATGAACCACCAGGCCTGGCCCACACAGCCTATAATTTAAATGGAACCGCATCATGAGAACAATAGTAACAACAGGTGTATTGGTCCACTTGGGCTGCCGTAACAAGACACCAAAGACTGGGTGACTTAAATAACAGAAATGTGTATTTTCTCACAGTTCTAGAGTCTGGGAGTTTGAGACTAGGGAGCCAGCATGGTTGAGATCTGGTGAGGGCTGGCTCTCTTCCTGGCTTGTAGACAGCTACTTTATGGCCATGTTCTCACATGGCCTTTTCTCTGAGTGTGAGGGGCACATGTGAGAGAGTGAGATTTCTTTCTTCCCCTTCTTAGAAAGACTTCAACCCTCTTGGATTAGGACCCCATCCTTATGACCTCATTTAAACTCAGTTACTTCCTAAAAGCCCTGGGTCCAGATATAGTCAAATTAGGGGTTAGGGCATCAACATATGACCTTTTGGGGGACACAATTCGGGCCATAGCAACAGAGATACACGGCACTTATTGAGGACCCCCAGTGTGCCAGGCGCTGTGCTGGTGTCCTCATTCAGTCCCCCATATGCACCTGTAAGATGGGTGCTATCATTTCCCCCTGCTTTACAGATGAGGAAACTGGGACTCAAAAGAATTATTTTCCAAGGACACTTCACTTAGCAGAGCCAGGACTTGAAACCAGGGCCATGGGAATTGAGGGAGCGTCAGAGGCGGTGCCTTGAGGATGAGCAGGGAAGTCTCCCAGCGGGGCTGGGGCAGAGCCAGCATCCAGGCATGTGTTATATTCAGGATCAAGCTGTTCTGTGGCTGCACAAAGGAATGTGTATTTAAAAGAGTGGTGGAGGTGGACACACGTTAGGTTGTTCTGTGTTCTATGTAGAACCATGGATTTTAGCCTTTCCCGCTTGGGCAGTCAGGAGCCATTGGTAGATTTTTTGTTTTGTTTGTAGAGATGGGGTGTCACTGTGTTGCCCAGGTTGGTCTCAAAACTCCAGGCCTCAAGTGACCGATCTCTTGCCTTGGCCTCCCAAAGCTCTAGGATTACAGGTGTCAGCTACCATGCCTGGCACCATTGGTGGTTTTTGAGCACAGGAGTGACATGGATTTGTATTTTAGAAAACTAATTCTGGAGGCATTGTACACAGTAAGCCTGGAGGAAAGAAAACAAGTTAGAGAGCAATTATCATAGCCCACACGGGGCTGGGGAGAGCAAGGGAGATACATATGAAAGGTTTTAGGAGATAGATTCAGCAGGACTCCTGTTTGGTTTCAATTTGATTTTTGGTTGTGGTCGGGAGGAAAAAGGAAGAATTGAGGATGTTCTGGGTCACTAGTTGGATGATACTGCCATACAGAGCAAGAGAGGAAATACAACAACAGGAACAAATTTGAAGTATTAAGCAATGTTATAATTTCGTTGCCAATTTGTCATCAATTAGGAAATGTTACGCCAATTATTTTAACTCTCTTGGGAAAGAAATGTATGTAGTACTGAATATTAACAAAGGACTTGAAGTAGCTGGAGGAGTAATTGGGGGACCATGATTGGGACCACAAGTGATGATTTATTATAATTTAAGAAGTCAGTTAAAGCAGGGGATTATAAAAATAAATTAACATTGAATAAATATCTTGTTATTACTTTTGATGTGGGGCTAAGGCCTTTGCTTTGTGAGTTTGGTGATGGATTTTTAACTTGACTTTCTTGCATAAGCCACAGCTACAATACATTCCTGTGACTTTCAGTATTGGGGTCACTAAAGTGTAGTAAGAGGTTAAAATCATTTGTGAAGCAATATTGGGTGGATGCCCCTTGGTTTTACAAGTCTTTCACATTTATCTTGCTTTCACCTAACCCTAAAGCAACTTTTAAAGTCATCTGCCATTTTCAAATCTTTTCAAAGCATTTATTTATTTTTCATAAATGTAATTTTTTTACATTATTTCGTGTAGTTATACAATGAACGATGAATTCTGTAGTTGTCATTTAACAAGGCTGTATATATTTATATATAGCAATTGTTATATAACAAAGGCAATAGGAATAAACACATTTGGAAATAATCGCTTAGAGACTATCAGTAAGCATGGGGCTTAAGTAGTAAAGAGAAAAGCCCACTGGCTTGAGTATTCAATAGGTGAAGGGCATCTAGTGTGCATGTGCACGCGCCCTCCCCCTCCCCCTCCCCCTCCCCCACTCCATGTTGGTTAATCCAGAGATTTAGGAGAGTGAAGACTGGCTAAGCGAGTTTCCACTGTGTGTTACTTTTGTGTGCTTATGTGTATATAACACAAGGGCAAGTGTAGACATCAGTGTGAAATGATGGTACTATATCATTACATTATAAATTACTGATTATTTCTAAGACAGTTACAAAGAGGAAATATAGACTGTAGGAGGCATTATGCAATGATAGTTTAAAATGAAAGTGGTGTTGGTGGAATTTTGCATTAGATACAATAGTGAAATGAAGTGGATTGAGTTCAGGGGAAAAAGTAGGGGATCTGAGAGTCTGTTGGATTACTAGAGAGAGACGAATGGAAATATTTCCTTCTAAAAATTGGATTTACATGTCATTTGATAATTCATGCCTGCATAGACCCCTAATGCCATCAGTTAAAATTATCATTGCTTCAAAGTGAGGCCACCTACTTTCTGACCATGCTAAAAGCAGAGCTAATGATAGCATCTAAAACAGCTTGCACATACAGTCCATTATAGTAGGAACTCAGTTATTTTCCCTCGATGATTAGCATTGATTCGCTAGCACAGGAAGAGAAAGCTGAAGGCTTTTGGGAATGCTGGGCTCGACCTTGCAGCAAGTCTGTGTCTGATGGAGCTCTGGTGGATGGGTGGGCAGTGAAGAAAGCACTAGCCAGTGGCCCAGCAGCGTGTTAACTATGTAAGAGAAGGGCCAAGAGTGTCATTTGCCACCTTAAGAGACCAAGCAAATTATTGTAAAATGCAATATGTTCCTTAGTTCATGGTCCTTCGGGAATATTGGCCTCTGTCATTAGGTTAGGAATAGCTAGTAAACATGAAATATTTTAGGGACCGCTTTCCTCTTAACCTGTTGCCCTGATTTGCTTTTGTTATTTTAATAATGGAGAGAAATTGAGCCTCTCAATACTTTTAATGGGCGTATTATATTACATTTTCTTTTAACAATTTAAAGTAGTTTGTACAAAAGTGCAGCATATTATAAACAAATATAGATGTCTTTCATACTCAGAATTACATTTTGGAAAATGTTCACATTTGTAAACATTTGCCATATTCACTTTTGCTACCTTTAGAGAAGTAAGACATTACAGATACAGTTAAACTTCCCTTCCTGCCCAGCACGATTCCATTTTCCTCTTTCCCTCTCCAGAGGCCACCAGTGTCCTCAGGCTGGTACATGTCTTTTCCATTCACATCTTATACTTTTATTGCATGTTGTTAACTGTTAACAACATATAGGTTCCTTTTTTCAAATTTGCATAATAAGTATCCTTTGCAGTTTGTATTTTTATCCAATTTGTAAGTGTTGAAGTTGGCCCATGTTGAAATATATTTTAAATCAAGAACAATCCTTTTAATGTCTAAATCAATTATTTCATCATACAAATATATGATGTACTTAGTCATTACAGGTAACCATTTAGGCGGGTTCTGTTTTCTTAGGACCTTAACAGTGCTATAGTGCAGCAGTCCCCAACCTTTTTGGCACCAGGGACTGGTTTCATGGGTGACAGTTTTTCTACGGGTGTTGGGGGTATGGTTTTGGGATAGAACTGTTCCACCTGAGATCATCAGACATTAGATTCTCATAAGGAGTGTGCACAACCTATAATCCACACGTGCACAGTTCACAATAGGGTTTGAGTTCTTATGAGAATCTAATACTGCTGCTGATCTGACAGGAGGTGGAGCTTAGGTGCAAATGATGCTTGCTCGCCCACTGGCTGCTTACCTCCTGCTGTGTGGCCCAGTTCCTAATGGGCCACAGACCACAGTACTGACCTGCTACCCAGGGGCTGGGGACCCCTGCTTTAGTGAACATCTTTTCTTTTTTCCTTATTATTATTTTTTTTTTTTTGAGACAGAGTGTCACACTGTCGCCCGGGCTGGAGTGTAAAGGTGTGATCTCAGCTCACTGCAACCTCTGTCTCCCTGGTTCACACAATTCTCCTGCCTCAGCCTCCTGAGTAGCTGGGATTACAGGCACACACCACTATACCCAGCTAAATTTTTGTATTTTTAGTAGAGATGGGGTTTCACTATGTTGGCCAGACTGGTCTCGAACTTCTGACCTCATGATCCACCCATCTCAGCCTCCCAAAGTGCTGGGATTACAGGTGTGAGCCACTGTGCCCGACTTAGCAAACCTCTTTATACACGTTTTTATGCACATGTGCAAAACATTGCTGGGGTATGTGTCTAGATGTGAAATTGTCCGGTCTAAGGATCAGTTATACTGTATATTGGCATCTCTCTCCAAGGATTTTTACAGGGGCTTGTCTTGTCAATGATACGATATAATTTAAGATGTAAAAAGACTACAAAAGAAGAAATGAATATACTCTGTATATTTATACAGTATAAATAAGGGGTGTGCCTAATGACATTTAGGGTTTTGGGGTTTTTTTAATTAGCTGTTTCTTTATTGAACATTTCCTGTGTACTGAAGCATTGTGGAAGCTTCTGGAGCAATTTGAGAGTAGGTGCCATGACTTTCATAAAAATGTCTATATTCAGTGTCTGCAGAGCAGTACCTTTTGGGGATAAAATAAACAAAACTATGTGTAAGAAATAAGGTCTGGTCTATTCACAAGAAATTTAGAGTCTAGCTGGGATTATATAATATATATGAAAGATATACGTTAATGAATAAAACTAAGTAGTTGAAAATAATGTAATTTGTAGAAGTAGCTTGAAAATTAAGTTGAAGAAGTATATGTTGAAAAAAGAATGAAATAAAAAACCACTCAGTGAGCTGGGTGTGGTGGTACGTGTCTGTGGTCACAGCTATTTGGGAGGCTGAGGTGAGAGGATCGCTTAAGTTGAGGACTTCGAGGCTGCAGTGAGCAGTAATCATGTCACTGCACTCCAGCCTGGGTGACAGAGCAAGACTCCATCTCTAAAAACAAAAATCTATTCAGTGACACCATTCTTTTTTTCCCTACCCCTCCTTTCTCCATCTTAGAATTAAACATTGAGGAAATGAAGTTATTAGAGCATTCATTCAGCAACAGAAAAATACAGTTAAAGGGATAGGAACTGCTTAGGGTCTTCTGATTATGAACCAGGTTAGAGACACTGAGACCAGATGCCCTGTGGGAGGTAGGGCACTCTAGATGTGTCTTGAAGCCCTGCCCATCTTCCGCCTGGGCTGTAGCTGCGCAACACAAGACTACAAGTGTTTGTTACCCGCTATCCCATATTCAGTGCTTTCACACATTTCATGCTGTCTCATATTCAGAGCTCACTGAAGTCTGTTACTGCACTATTAACTCTTACGTCTGTAAAGTCCCTGAGCAAAGGCATGTGGAAAGATGAAGGTTTGCCACCAGGGAAGTTCTAGGGATGGAGAAAATCTCAGGGGTGTGGTATTAAGCTCAATCACGGCAGGCTCAGGAGTGAAGAAGTGGTTTTGCGTCTGCAAAATGTTTCTTAATTCCAGCTCCAACATTTAGCAGTGCACAGGCAGGACAGCATTTTAACTTCTTGCCAAAAGTCTGTACCTCCACTGATTGGGTTTTTCACCTATGGGAATTAAACTTCTCTTCTATAATGGCAGTTGGCTGAAAGAATATTTGTGTGTCTGTCTGTGTGCCTGTGTCTCTGTGTTTAATAACCAGTTTTGCTGGAGCCACAGTGCAAACCCAGGAACATTGGTTTCATTCTGTGTACACATCACTGGGGGCAGGTTACAGAGAGGGCATCACGGAAAAAGTCAGATTTTTTCCAGGATTTGAATCAGGAGTCTGAAGAGCAGAGGGGTGGACGTGCAGAGGCTGGGAGGCAAAGATCAGTCATGTGGGGTGGTTTAGGTCTTGCGCATTTGCTGAGCTGGACCAGAGGACCTGCTTGGAAGAAGTGAAAAGCCATGCTAGCGAAGGCCAGGTGCCTGGTGGGGGGAGGCTCGGAGCCTGGCAGTTGCGTTAGTTTGCTGTGATGCAAAGTGGAAAGAGGTGACTGGTCGAGGACCAGTGGCATGGTGAAGTGTCTTCAGGGTGCACAGCTTCTGTGGCAATTTGGTGTGGACAGAGTCTGGGGCAGGCTCTGTGTAGCAAGCCAGTCATGAGATGCAAGGACCGAGAGGAAGGTTGGTGTGACAGGAACAAGGAAAGGGAATAACATAGAGCAAGAACACAGGAGAACAAAGAAACGTCAGGACCCTCAGCCTTCAAAGGCCTCTGAGGATGCGGGACCATCCACTAGAATGGAAAATGGAGATGTACTTTTGGGGAAAGGATCTTAGATTTGGTTAAACAGAGCAGGCCTTCAGCAAATACAGGAATTCTTAATTTCAGGTAGGAAAATGTTAGCAGTGTCTTCTAATATTTCTTTTCGGAAAGATTTATGTCATTTTAGTTCACACAACTCTGTCTGCCAGCATCATTAACTTACGTGACTTGTTTACAAACAAAAATTCCAACAGCGCCTCTGAAACCTTGCTAGTCTAAGTGTGGTTTGAGGACCAGCGGCATAAGCATCATTTAGGCACTTGTTAGAATGTAGAGTCTCTGGGCAAGGTGTGGTGGCTCACACCTGTAATCCCAGCACTTTGGGAGACCAAGGCTGGTGGATCACCTGAGATCAGGAGTTCAAGACCAGCCTAGCCAACATGGCGAAACTCTGTCTCTACTAAAAATACAAAAATTAGCCAGACGTGGTAGCATGTGCCTATAGTCTCTGCTATTTGGGAGACTGAGGTGGGAGAATCACCTGAACCTGGGAGATGGAGGTAGCAGTGAGCTAAGATCATGCCACTGCACTCCAGCCTGGGCAACAGAGTGAGACTCTGTCTCAAAATAATAAATAAATAAATAAATAAAAATAAAGAATTTAAAGAAAATGTAGAGTCTCTGATCCCAGACCACCTGAGTGAGAATCTGCATTTTAACATGGGGGAAAGGGGAGATTTGTGCACCACAAAGTATTAGATGTTCTCCTCTGACACACTGCCTTCCTGTGGCTTAAAAATAAAACTATAACTTAAAATCTTATGGCATATTCAGTTTTGTTTTCTGAAAGGCTGTAATAAATACCCAAATGCCATTTTAAAAATGCTTATACTGTCAGCCATAGAAATGATGAATTTAGCAAGAAATACACTGTCTGTATTTCTGCTCTGGGATGTAAACTCCATGGGAAGGGCCTCATTCCACTGTTCCACTGCTTGCAACAGGGCTAGTACATACAGGTACTCAAAAAATATTTGTGAAATTTTGTATAAGTAAATAGATGAAATTTAATTATATATTATTGTTTTAAATTAGTTCTGTGTGCACATTTTAAAAACATGCCTTATGTTGATCAAATTAAAAACTTTAAATTATAAAGATAAATGCTTACTCATTGATAATGTAGAAGGAAAGGAAAGCACATACATAGAAAAACCACCCTTTACTCCCACTACTTATAGATTACGTTTTAGGGTATTTCCTTCTGTGACTGTTTTTACATAGTTTGTCTTACTACACATCTTATTTGTATCCTGCCTTTTCCATTAATTATCATGATACAGTAACTGGTTTATTGTATGTCCTAAGCTTTAGACTAGGCATTTGAGATACTTTTCTTGTTTGCTTATTATATCCACATAAGGCTGTATAATTACCTCACCTTTTCACATGAGGAAACGAAGTTTGAGAGTTTGTCTGTCTTACTAGTAGTCAGATTTAGTCCATGATCAAGTTGAGATTTTAACTTGGTAGCATTTTCTAGAGCCTGTGCTTTTTCCAGCCCACTAGAGTATTTCCTTAGTTATGGCTTTTCATTGTAAAATAATATTTTGCTAGGTGAATATGTTTAACTTGGCTAACAGTCTCTACTCCTCAATATTCTAGTTTTCTTGTTTCTCAATACTGCATGTAATAATACAATGAATATTTTTGCATAGAAAATTTTTCTGTATTTTATTTCTCTTAAGGTAGCTTTCTTAGAAACATTTTTAAGCCTCTTGAAATGTACACAGAGAACTTTTCAAAAGATTTGCACCAATTTTCATTCTCACCAGTCACTGTAAATATATTGTATATTTGAATGCCTGTAGACAAAGCAATATGCTTTTTTCCTGCTTCCACAGAAAAAATACATTTAGATGTATTTTCTTTATGCTTCAAATAATATGATTTTTATTTTGCTTAATTGACTTTTGTTACTGAAATACTTAGCTTTCCCTAAATATCAGCTTCTTTAGTACATAGAATATTAGCATGAGATTCATATTCTGCCCTGCTCAAACCCTATTTTAATTAAGTTCACAGTTTCTTAAGAAGATATACATTTACATTAATATATATTTCTGGGTTTTTTGTTTGTTTGTGTGTTTTTTGAGATGGAGTCTCACTCTGTCACCCAGGCTGGAGTGCAGTGGCACAATCTTGGCTCACTGCAACCTCCGCCTCATGGAGTCAAGTGACTCTCCTGTCTCAGCCTCCCAAGTAGCTAGGATTATAGGCACCTGCCACCATGCCTGGCTAATTTTTGTGTTTTTAGTAGAGATGGGGTTTCAGCATGTTGGCCAGGCTGGTCTCGAACTCCTGGCCTCAAGTGATCCACCCACATTGGCCTCCCAAAGTGCTGGGATTACAGGCATGAGCCACTGTGCCTGGCCAACATTGACATATATTTCTTAATATCAGAATTATTCATAAACTGGGGGTTTTGTGGTTGTACAACCTAGTTATTCAACTTTAATGTGTATTTAATACCACTTGTTCTCAAAAATCAAAACACATCATTCTTAGACTATCCTATAGTGTTTCTTTCTTTCCTTTTCTCCCTCCCTTTCTTTCTTCCTCCTTCCTTCCCTTTCTGTCTGCCTTCCTCCCTCCCTTTGTTATTTCTTTTTGGTAGCAGGAAAGCAGATGATATACAGAGAAGAAAACCTATTGTAACAACAGCAAAACCAACCAAACTGACCTTTACTTATATATAGCTTACTTTGATCCTTTAATAAAACTATTGAAGAAGGAAGTATCTCCCACTGCTAATATTTGAAATAATAATAGATCATTATAAAATATAACAGCTCTGTATTGAATCAGGACCATAGAAGAAATAACAAAAAATATATGAACCTGATGTATTATGCATTGTATGCCTATACTGAAATATTTTGTGTGCCCCATAAATATATACACCTACTATGTACTCATAAAAATTAAACATTAAAATAGTATTTGAAAGATGGAACACCGCCTTACTCATTTAGCCATGTTTATTTTGTACATTGCATGTTTATTTGTAGTATAGCTTTCTCAAATATAATCACAATTGCTTTAATATGGCAAAAAATGCATTTTGTTATTAAAACAGAGCCTCTTATAGGTAGGCTTATCTATTATATGTATGATTTTTGTGGTCTAATAGTGCCCCAATAAAATGGAAATTTAAAGATAACATTAAAGTTTAATAATTTGTGTGAGACTAATAAACCAGTGAATTTGGAAAACAAATACACATGTGTGCCTTCCAAAACATGTTATAAAGTTTTGCAATTTTGAAATACTTGATAAACTATAGGACACTAATATATAATTGCATAAGCAGTTAAGGATTCATGAGAATGAGTTGATTTTTAAATTTTAAATACCCTATTTCTGACTTCTTTAAAGAAGTTTTTATGCACTACCTTTTTGCATTTATGCAAGGCTGCCCATAGCCTGAAGGCAGGAGTCAGCTATGCCTGTATGAGTAGGAAATTAAAGGCTTTTACGATTCTGATTTGAAACTTTGAAAGAAGGACGTGATAAATATTTGAGATAAGTGTATATTTTTGGTTAAAACATGTAACATTTTTCTCCTATTTCTATTCTGAAATATCATTTAGTTTTATATAACTTTGAGAAAATACTGCTTTCTTTTTGTGAACTCTGTTCCTTTTCATTAAAAAATTGTAAGTACTATATTTACCTTTTAAGGTAACAGGAAGCAGCAGTGATTGCTGTTTTGAGGTTGTTTTTCTTAAATGGGCTTTTCAAAGACTGGAAGTTATTTTTAGGCTGAGGTGGCAATCAGTGTGTAGGTCAACAAACAGATTTGTTATTTTCTATTGTAGAAATATGTTCTTTGAAACACTGTAATTATTTACATTTTAAATTGTTAAAATTGAAACAATACAGTTATGGAATGAATATCTCAATACATGATTATGTAGTTCTTAAGACATGCTTGCCAACTCAAGAGAAAATTTTGTAATTATGATAGGACTCCTAGCTTAAGAAGTGGCCTTTGTAATGCCACCTTTAATACTTTTCAGCATTCTATAGGTGAACAATTTAAGAACTATATTTGTAAAGTGATATTTTAAAGAGAGCTAATGGTAAAGGCAGGCAATCATTTAAAACATTTTGTATATTCCAGAGACTACTCAAATATTAATCTTGTTTTCAGGAGTAACTTCTTAAGCATGGAAAAGATTTTCGTTTATTTAGACCAATTCATTATTTATTTACTTCATTCAATAAATAGTTACATTGTACCTACTATATGCCAGGCACTATTTTAGTGAGTTTGTTCATTCAGTAAGTCAGCTCTATAACATGGAAAGAAATGGAAACAATTTCACCTGCCTCATAGCCATCGTCAGTAGCTCAGCATAGATAGTCTTCTGTTCATTTGCATGCCAGGCTGTACACTCACTCACTCATTGACTCATTCATTCGCTTATGCGTCAGATACCCATTGAGGGCTTTCTGGGTGCTGATCCCTGTGCTAGGAACTGTGCGGGTATGAGTCATGTTCTGAAAGGTGAAGGCTGAGGATCTTTCGAGCCCAGAGGAGGGATCCAGCCCAACCAGAGGGAGCAGGAAAGGTGGTCTGGAACCAGCACCCTTTGGACCTAGGCCAGAGGCCGAGCAGGAACCATTGAGAACAGAGGCAGGAGGTCAGTGACCCAGGCAAGAGCCCTCACCCCCAAGCCCCCAAATTTTTATTTTGATTTGGAAAATTTATAGGATTAAAGTAATAATTGGAAAGGAAATAAAAATGGAAACATTTCCTATTTTCCCTATTCTTGTCTGGAGACAAACTTAATTTCTATGTTGCTGTTTTTTCTCTTAAATATCCCCTTACTAAATAGTCTGTCCATATTAATTAGACTGGGTAATCCTAACTCAAGAAAGCATTTGGCAATTAAAAGATGAGGGACTTAGGGTCCGACCGTTTTCCTTGGCCTTCATTTCGCTTTGTCTCTCTTTTCTCCCCTCTTCTTCCCAGGCCTGGCTGGCTAGGTGCCTGGTTACCATTTGGCCTCTGAGAAGGGTGTGACTGCCAGCCCCCAGCTCTCCATGCCTGGTCAGGCACTTATATCCCTTGACCTGTTCACCA